GTTTTTTTTTTTGCAAGTTCCACTACTTGCTATATTTTATTTTGCAAGTTCCACTACTTGCTATATATTTTTTTGCAAGTTCCACTTCTTGCTATATTTTTTTTTTTGCAAGTTCCACTACTCGCTATAAAGTTTTTGTGCAAGTACCACTTCTCGCTGTACATTTGCATATTATTGATATATATATATATATATATATATATATATATATATATATATATATATATATTTATATTTATTTATATATCAATATATATATTTATATATATATCAATATATTTATATATATATATATATGTATATATATATATATATATATATTTATATTTATATATATATCAATATATATATTTATATATATATATCAATATATATATATATATATATATTTATATTTATATATATATCAATATATATATTTATATATATATATCAATATATATATATATATATATATATATATATATATATATATATATATATATATATATATATATATATATATATATATATATATATATATGTATATATATATATATATATATATATATATATATATATATATATATATATATATCTATATATATACAATATCTATATATATATATATATATATATATATATATATATATATATATATATATATATAGAGAGAGAGAGAGAGAGAGAGAGAGAGAGCGAGAGAGAGATTGAGAAATTGAGAGTCAACCATAGTAAAATAAAGTAGTAAGATAATCAAATGCATTTAAATGCATATAAAAATAAATGCAACATATTTACATTAGGAAAACATCAACTCACCGGATACAATGTCAGCAACTAGCTGGAATTTTTTCATATAATAATCAATTGCTTCAGCATCATTTTCTTCTCTAGTCCAGTAAGAAATAGTGTATATAATATCTTTCTGTTCTTTTTTATGTTATTCTACTCTGCCATTATACAAGACTGTCATTGCTGTATCGGAATCATACCATTCATGGCAATGATTTCTCCCAACAATTCTCTCACACATAACATCTTTTAAATCATAAATTTGCTTAGTAGATAAGTTTTAAACAAGTTCAGAATTTCACTAATAGTTAATAATGTTAATTGTTGTTCTAACTTTCTTTTTTCTTTTTCATCGATTTTTTGGCGTTTTATAGTCTGTCTTTTAGAAATCTCAGCTCTAATTTCAGAATGTTGTAGTCGACTTTTTATTCGTTTTCTACGTGCTGCCTGCATAGACCACTGAACCACCATTTTTCTAGAAAAGTCATCAAGATTATCCAGATAAGCCATTATTCCATTCTTTTTGGTTCGTAATTTGCAAGATATATTATCAATAGATGCATTAGGAGACCTTCCTTTTGCAGCACTGAACATTCCCATTAATTCTTCACTATCTATGTTATGAAGTGTCCTGCACTAGCTGTTTCTTTTTCAAGTGCTTCTGTTATGGTAATGGAAAAATAACGTTTATACTGTCGATTTAAAACCACTTCTATTGCATTGAGGCAAGCCAAGATCATGGCAATGAGCTCGTCATCAATTATACATATTTTTGTTATTGGTTCTAACACATTTGCTTTGAGAGCATTTCCAAAAAATCTGTTGTTCTGCAAAATATTGCAGCTGGATCGCATTTGCAGTCTTTAATTGTTTGCACAACATTTTTAACAATCTGGATACCACCAACATAATCAAAATATGCTTTCTCAGATGACACATAAAACATTGTCATCCACGGCCCTGTAAGAAGTTTTCCAAATAAAGCAAGTAGACACATTTGCTTTAAAGCAGTTGTATTACAAAATGCTACTCCCAGAACCTTTTGTAAAGTTTTTATTTTTACTGTTCCTATAGTTAAAAAATGTAAAAATTTCCTATAATGTTTTATAAAAATAAAACAAGTGTGAAACAGAATGTAAAGGCGATTTCCACGATACCTTGGAATGATACTTCGTGGTAGTTTATTATTGTCTAAAAAATTAACAAATTCCTTTGGGTCACCTTTGCCATCTTTAAACCTCATCTTATTCATAGCCAAAACAATTTTTGCAGCTATACAATCATTTCCATATAATTCGCAGCTTTCGAGCTCTAGAGACTTTAAAGCTGAACGACACGATGTGGCAATTGTGTCAAGAGGGTGCAAATAACAGTTTAATTCATTCAGACTTCGAGGGTGCAAATGACAGTTTAATTCATTCAGACAGTTTAATTCATTCAGACAAGTTTCACAAATTTTTCTTATTGTAAGATGATTAACAGATACTCTGTCCGACATTGTGTTTGTAATATTTGAGATGACCATACGACGACATTTTTCAAAGGGTTTCAAGTGAAAGTTAGAATATACTAAAGCTATATGATCCAATTCGTTACATATATGGTTCGCATAATCCACAGCTGTCCAACCTGGTAATTGATCAACAGCAATTACCTGGCATTTATGATTTGAAGTTAAGTGAATATTGTTGATATGAACACCTTCTTGTGTAGTTGCGTCAAACCCAAGAGTAAGATGAGTATTACTAATCATCCATTCAGCTGCCTGTAGATCAGCAATACTGCCAAGCTCACGAGCCATTTGCTCAATAGTACTACGACAAGGAATGTGAGAAAAAATAATACTGAAATATTGCCCAATTTTGTCTACTAGAAATGGAATGTTACTTGTTGGGACATTACACAATAACATGCAGTATATTATCATTCTCATTTTTAGTGGATAGCTTTTACAATCAGTTGAATTTGTAATACTAATCTTGTCCTCATCCATTTGGGTCAAACTATCTTCTAAGCTAGTAATATCTGTTTTATTTTTTCTAATCGCAGCATTATGTTTGAGAGCTAACTTTCTAAACTTTTCTCTCTCTTTAATTTTTATTGCTTTTTTTGATGCAACAAGATTGCGAATTTGCCTGCTGTAATAATATGTTTGGTTTTTATGTTTTAAGTCTCTAACCTGACCTCTTAAAGCTTTTATAATATCTTCTTTTCTTTTAAAACTTTGCCTTAGAACTTTTAATTTATATGGCAGGCTGGATAATTTTGCTTTCATTGAAGCTATCTTCTTACGATTTGCTATGGAAGATATTGTTAATCTAGAAGACAAATGAGACAAGTGGTTAGTTAATTTTTTCTTCGTAGGACTCAATTTTTCTATTGAAGTCTGCCTAGTTGTTAAATTTGCTTTATGGCCAACAGAACATGAAGGTTCATCACTTATCAGAGATGGTGTATTCTGGTGTATTCTGATAATAAAGAAACAGAAGAATGTGATAATGTGTAATTAGTGCTACTTAAGGTAAGCTGCGATGAAATTGCAATCGTTTGTGCATGGTTTATAAAGTGCTCATTACAAAATGCAACACAACTTTCATATTCCCTTAAAAAATGTTTAGACCAGTTTTTGGCTATGGACACTACTTTTTTGATATGACTGGAGCAAATATTCAAGTTAAAGTGGTCATTGACTTTTGCTACTGTTTTGGTAAACAACTCATCATTGCTAGTATAGAGAAACAAAACGTCTCCATTCAGGCACCTTATATTTGTGTTAGATGGCAACATAAAATTACTAAGTAAATGTTTTTTAAATTCTCCTTTAAATACGTGTTTACCCATTATAACATTAAAGCTTAAATTAGTTGCAACTAATGAGTTTCTTAATGAATTTAAGAATGTAAAAGAAACCAAAAAAATAATATAAAAAGTTTATGTTTTAAATATGTATAACACTAAAAAAAAGTTTATTGATTCTTACCGCTCACTCAGACACTTACAATAACGGTACCTGTTTGCCACTTAGAACAACTGTGGTACAAATTTTGCCAGTCAAAAGATTTCCATATTAAGTAATAAGCATGAGATATATTAGTTTAATATTAAAAAAATCTAAAGAGAAAACTATACAAGAAGAAATAGTAGTATATACATTTCTGATAATATAAAACTATAAATGGTATCAATTTATGTAACTTAACCAACAGCTATATCAACATACATACAACATAGTTATTATCCAAAAAAGTAAACATATGGTACAGTAGACAATTTTAAAATTAAGAAAAAATTTATTGCATTAAAATTACCAGAACTGCATTTGGAACATTGTTTTGTGTTAGTATTTGTAGTTTGAAACGAGCAACAATTTAAAGTATTATAAAAACTACTGAGCCGCGGGTAAATAAATGAAAATTTTTTATAAACTTTTTTGTAAAAAGCCATTGAAGCAATTATAAATAGAACAAAATTATTGTACAATGTTTAAAATTTTTTTAAAAAAAAACAAAAAAAAAAACAAAAAAGCATACATTACATTGTCTATAATTAGTGTAAATAGTACCTGTAAATAACTTTCAGTGTAACATAAATGCTACCATATGCAGGAAATTTTTACACTATTTATAGACATTGTAATGAAACACATTTCCCCGTTTTCCACGGCCACCTCGTCTCCTACTTCTGTAGGCAGCACTCGGGTATGGAGAATTACGGTTCCAATAATAGTCTTGCCGATCGTGACCTCCATGCTTCACCCACACAAGATAGGAATAATGTGAGTAGGAGCCCAAGTGCTGCCTTCTATATTCCATGTAGCGTTCATGTGTTAGTTCTGAAAGCATAATACAAGTTTGAGTTTTAAAATAAAAATGAAAAATAGTCTCGAGAAATTATTATTTTATATACTTTTGCAAGTAACAATGTATACGCTCACCACTGTTGACGCTGTTCCATCGCTTACGCTCACTACAGATAAAATATAAAAAGTTATAATAGATTTAGAAAAGGAGCATAAAAATATTTTGAACATAGGTGAATTTTAACTATTCAAAAGTTACCTTACCTTTGTTTCATGCTGAAGCAACCACTAAAAATATAAAAAAAAGTTCATAAAAAAGCTATTTAAAATTGCATATGTTAAATTTTTAATAAGTTTTATACATATTCATACCAGTTTGGGTATCTTGGGATCTGGCTAAAGGTAACAAATAATAATATTATGTAAAAATAAATGACATTCAAAAATATATTTTTGATTAAAGCTCTGTTAAAGCTCATTTGCAGATGTTACCTGTGCTTGATGTTGAGGTAACCACTAAAAATAAGGAAAGTAGCATAAGATAAAAGAAACATGAGTTATAAATAAAAATTTTATATGCCATCTTCTAAAGTCTTTCTTTTTTGAATCGTTTTATCTCAAAAATCAAAAATGAGGTGATAAAGCAAGATTATTCTTACATTTCACATTTTTCAAAAAATCAGATAAATATACTTACCAGAATTGACAACTGAAGACCCTGTTGAACATAAAAATGACAAATTGTATAAAATATATGAATGTTACAATAAAATTTTATAACTTCAAATTAATCAATATAAATATTTATACCAGTCTGGGTATCTTGAGCTGCAGTTAAAATAACAAATAAAAATATTATGTAAAAATAAAGAACATATTCTAATATATATCAAACTAATATATATCATAATATTATCAAACTATATATACTTAAGTATTATATAGAAAAGTAACAATACCTGTGCTTTCTGCAGATTTAACCACTAAACATTAAAAAGAGATGACATAAACTAAATTTCTTTTTTATCTATTACTTTTTTAACATAATTAGAATAATATGCTTATCAGAATTGTCAACTGAAGAGCCTGCTGAATATAAAAAATACAAATTATATAAAAATTTGAATATCAAAATAAAATTTTATAACTTTAAATATCAAATTTTTTATAAATTTAAAAACCAAACATTTTAAAACATTACAGGTTACCTCACCTATGTTAAAAGTTGTAGCAACAACTAAAAATTTAAAAGAAGATAAAAAAATAAGTTAAAATTGCATATAAATTTTGTAACTTTAAATAATTCTAATATATAATCATACCAGTATTGGAATTTGGAGATAGAGCTAAAGATAACATTTAAAATTATTAGGTAAACCTAAATGACATATTGAAATTATATATATTTTTGAGTTTCAAGCCTGAATAGCAAATTAACGATACCTGTAGTTGTAGCTGGGACAATCACAAAACAAAAGGAAAATATCATAAAATAAAGTTTGTTTTTTAAAATTTACTATTTTAAATAATTCGATATTCTCATCTGATTTGACAACCATAAAAGAAAAAATTTTTTATTATTAAAAATTTATTATTATTATAAAACCTGAATAGAGAAAATCTTACTTGAGGAACTTGATGAAGGTTTCACTAAAGACTAACAATTATTATAAACCTATTTATAAAAAAAAAATAGTAATAATACTATTTTCAAGTTTTTGCTTCATATACACAAACTATAAATTCGAAATTGGTCTAATACATAAATTGCATTTTAAATTTTTTAAATCCAAAAACAAATTTACTTACAAGCGTTAACTAAATTGTCTAAAAATAAATTAGTAACTAATAGTAAATAAATCTGAGATTGAAAAATTTATTTTTAACAAAGTATTAGACGATACAATAAAATGCATACTTATTGTATTCTCCATAGTGTCTAAAAAAACAAAAATAACCAGTTGCGAACAAATAACTTAAAAAAAAATTATAACTATAATAATGGTTTTTATTTTTATTTTTGTTAGTTCATTACAGTTATATTTTATTTTGTGATTTACATTGTTAGAATTTTATGTTATTATAAGATTAATATAAAAACATAATAAATAAAATAACAAAACAGTTTTAATAAAAATAGAATTAAAAATAAAATAGATTCAATAAATGAGAATTACTAACTAAATAATTAAATAAATAATATCTAAATAACAAAATTGAATTACTAACTTAATTTTTCATATAAGCTTTCAATAGCTTGTGCATCTAAACAATCATAACAAAGGAACTATTTCAAACAATTTATATCAGTTTTATTTAAACAAAAGTTATATATATATATATGTATATATATATATATATATATATATATATATATATATATATATATATATATATATATATATATATATATATATATATATATATATATATAATAATACTATTAGTAATAGTACTAATAGTATTATTATATCAATATTTATTAATATAGATTCTGACTTTGATACATAGAATCATACACAGAAACATAAATTTCTACCATTATGTACTTCTTACTAAATAAACAATACAATTACTCAGAAATACTGTTATTAGATTAGACAAAGATTAGAAAGTCTTAGCATTACTAAGTATTATTATATCTAAGTAAATAGTGATACTATTTGCATAAAAGATAACTAATAAATTAATTGAAAAATGAAAATAAAAATTTTGGTAATCTTACAATTTATCTCTTCACTCATTTTTTCTGAAAAAAGTAAAATTTATTAAAAATAAAAAATTTACAAAAAAGTTTTATTTTTTTTTAAAGTTAAAGAATTCGATTTTTTTGCACCCCCCGATCGCCCGCAAAAAATTGCAGATTAAGGAAAGTAGGTACCAAAAGTGGGCCCCAAAATAGACTGCTTAAGCCCCATTTTTTTTCAACGAAATTTGGCAGACAAATAAAAAATGGGTAAACTTAAATGGCTGCGAAACAATCTCAATTGCTGTCCATATCTTCGATATTTGCTGGATGTGCAAAGTTAACAAAGTTTTGCATGTCAAGAAATCAACTTATAAAGTACGTAATAGTAATCAAAGAACACAAATTCTTAAAGTATAATCATTCTAGTTTCTAAAAAATATCTATGTTAATATGAAATTAGAAAAAATAAGGCGACAAAACACAGCACAACCTACCTCTCTAAATGCGAAGTTCAAAAAGCGTGGCACAGAATTTTAGCACATTTATCGGTTCCGTAAAACGCGGATATCGGCGTACCTGATATATATATATATATATATATATATATATATATATATATATATATATATATATATATATATATATAGATATATATATATTTATATATACATATATATATATATATATATATATACATACTTATATATATATACATATATATATATATTTACATATACATATACATATATATATATATATATATATATATATATATATATATATATATATATATATATATAATGTTATAAGGGTATGTTATAAGGTAATTGTTATCTCCAAACAAAGTTTTTAATTTTTTAGTATTCAGTATTCAGATACTTTAGAGAAGCATTATAATGCTGCATAAATATTAAACAAGTATGAAAAAGAATATAAAGACGGTTTCCACGGTACCGTAGAATAATACCGCGTGGTAGATTATTATTGTCAAAAATATTAGCAAACCCTTCTGGATCACCTTTTTCCATATTTACACCTCATCTTGTTTAGAGCTAAAACAATTTTGACTTCCATACAATCCATTCCAAATAATCCGCAGCTTTCAAATTCTAAGGATTTATGAGCATCAAGACATAAAATAGCAATAGTGTCTAAAGGGTGCAAATGGCAGTTAAATTCCATAAAAATTTTTAACGGGTATTGCATACTTTCGTAATTGTAAGATGATTTACAGCAACCCTGTCAGACATTGTGTTAGATATATTTGAGATGATTGAGCTACGATAGTCATTAAAGGAAAATTAGTAAAAATTTGAATAAATAAAAGCTTAATGATCAACTGCACAACATATATGGCTTTCATAATCAATAGCTTTTTCACCTTATGATTATTCCAAAGCAATGACCTGACAGTTGTTTTTGGATTTAAAACGAATGGTGTTTATATGAACACCTTGAGCAAAGACCTGACAGTTGTTTTTGGATTTAAGACGAATGGTGTTTATATGAACACCTTGCGTTGTTGCATTAAATCCTAGAGTATGATGAGAATTTTCTATAGCCCAGTCTGCTGATTGCATTTCTGCTATAGTTCCAAGTTCACATGTCATTCGCTTAATAGTGCAACGACTATAAATTTCACCAAAGTTAACATATAAATACTGACTAATTTTTCTAATTAGGTATCCAATGTTACCTGTTGAAACATTAGCCAACACCATGCTGTAAATGATCATCTTCATTTGCAAAGGATATGCCTTTACATTTTCTGATATATTAATAGCTACAATTTTCCCCTCTTGTATGTGGCTGTTACCATTTTCAAATTGAGCAGTAAACAGATTACTTGCCTTGATATTTTTATCTTGATATAATTGATGCATTTTGAAGGACTTTTATTTGCGTTAGGTTTGTTTTTCTTTTACTTTTAATGCCTTAAATTTAGCTTTAAGATTACTGGTTACTCTACTGTAATAATGTTTTAATTTTTTCTTTAGGTCTGCATTTTCTGTCATCAAAACACTAATAACATCTTTGTTTCTTTTCACGTTTTGCCTAAATACTTTAAACTTATATGGCACGCTATAGTGTTTTGATTTCAGATTTGCTACTTTTTGCCTGTGATTTTTGGTAGAGTTTGCTAACTGAGTAGATAAATATGATAACCTATTGCAGAGATTTATTTTCTCAGGGGTGAGTTCTTCTCTAGATGCACGCTGTCTTGTTTCATTGATGGCACGTTAGTGCATGGTATGAAAAGGGCTCATTACAAAATTAAATAAATTTTGAAGAATCCCTCAAATATTTGCGAATCCATTTTTGGGCATTTTTAAGTAAATTAACTAGTTGACGTTTACTTGTGTTTAAGCTAAATAAGTCATTCACTTGTTTAAAAGTTTCAAAAGTTGACTCACCGTTTTTAGTATATTAGAAGATTATATGTCCGTTTTAACAGTGGTTATTTATTTCGCCATAAACAGTTAAATTTACAGCTACACACTTTTTCACTGCACCATGAAACATACATCCACTTTTTTTTGGGCCCATAATTCCTTAAAGATGTAATAAAAAAACCTTTATATAATGTATAAACTTAACATGTTTAAACAAGCAAATAAACATATAAAATTTGTTAGAAATTGATCACGTTTTAGTATAACAATATGCCACAACATAACAGATATGCTGAATAGAAAAGGCTTAAAATATTCAATACATACCTTCTATAACAATAAACGGTATATTCCAATAATATTTTTATTAGCTCTAAACATAAGCCAAAGTAATGTAAGATAAAATAATATTCTTAAAAAGCAAACGTTTATAATATACTAAAGTCTTAAATGTAAAAAATATGAAATGGACTATCCACATTTAACAAAAACTTTTATTTTAAATATCATATATAGGCATAAAATTGCATTTAAAATGAATACTACTATCTCATTACTAGTAATATCTCATATATTCTTTGATGAAGCATTAATATATGGATTACATACATAGTTATTATATATATATGTATATATATATATATATATATATATATATATATATATATATATATCACAATGTAGATTCACATAGTTGAAAACATACAAAAAAAATCATTAAAGCTCTTGCCTAACTTGTCAATAAATCATTTTTAAAACAAGTTTTTGGGATTTTAAACAGTTGAAAACAAATAACTAAAATGTTAAGTTATTGTAAAAATTGTAATCATCGACAAGGGCTTCATTGTATTCACTTAAAAAGAGTGTAAATAAAATAACATTAATTGGAACAGCTATTAAAAAAAAATTAATTTTCAAAATATTATAAAGTTTAATATTAAACTGTAGGTTATAAAAATCATAGTTTGAAAATGTAATATATTATAAATCTAAATCTAAAAAATGACAGTCACTACTCAAAATGTTCAAAGTTGTGACTAAATATACTATGCTATACTGTTTTGTAACCTAATGTTAGTAAATTACTTAACTTAATTTGTTTAGTTATGAAAAGTCAAATTAATATTATTATAGCAATTACCTCTTCTACCATTAACCAAAGTGAATCTTGCACACGCACAATCTCTTAACTCAACAAAACGATCCAAATCAAACATATAAAATGGGTCGCTTGTAAGGCTTTCCATTCTTGAGATTACTTGGTCTCTAAACATCTTCGTTTTTGTAATTTAGTTTGCTTGGTTTTAAGCAAACTTTTACTAGCATCTCTAAACAGAACTTTTCCACATATTAAATATTGAATTGAACTCAACAATTTAAGTAGCATCACTGTCTTTACACTCCATAAAATATGATTTAAAGTGTTTTTATTATTAAAAATAACATATTTTGTTTAAGACCAGCTTTAATATTTTCTGAATCTTTTGTAGTATATATTTCAACTGAATCTTTAAATGACATAAAATTTTGTCTAAAAAAGAACATATCAGACAAGTTATTGTGCACTTTTGCTATAATTTCCTGTTGACAAAAAATATCATATAAGTATTTATTTCTTTCTCGCTCATATATCATTCAACCTATATTAAAAATCATCATATCCTTCATACAAATATCAAAAATTTGGTCACATTTAAAATAAGACATTATATCTTTCTAAAAACCTTCTGATATTAAAGAATTTTTTGGTATTCCTAAAGTGTTCACCGGAACAGGAAGAACTTTCATACTAAAGTCTTTCTGACAAAATTTAAAATGATTATGCCAGAATCTTTTTAATACAAATTTCATGCATTAGCTGCAATAGTTTATACCCATATGTTTTACTGCATGCTTTTTTCTTTTAAACCTAGGGTTTTCTTTATTACATTCTCTCATATTCACTTCAAAAATCCTTTTCCTTTTAAAAGTTTGCAATATTGCATTAAATCTTTTTCTGCTTTATTACAAGTTTTTAATGCAATAACTTCTGGCAGTTTTTTATAAACATATTTACTACTTAAAATGTTCCGAGTAGTGACTTAATATACTGTGATATAATTTTTTGTAATCTAATAGTATAGAAATTAGTAACATAATTTGTTTTGTTATGATAAATCAAATTAATATTATTATAGCAATCTTGCACACGCACAATCTTTTAACTCAACAAAACTATCCAAATCAAACATATAAAATGGGTCGCTTGTAAGGCTTCCATTCTTGAGATTACTTGGTCTCTAAACTTCTTCGTTTTCCTAATTGAGTTTGCTTGCTTTTAAGCAAACTTTTACTAGCATCTCTAAACATAGAACCTTTCCACATATAAAATATTGAATTGAACTCATCAATTTAAGTAGCATCACTGTCTTTACACTCCGTAAAATGAACGCCTTTCATGATTTTAAGTGTTTTTATTATTTAAAATAACAAATTTTGTATAAGACCAGCTTTAATATTTACTGAATCTTTTGTGGCATAAATTTCAACTGTTTCTTCAAATGACATAAAATTTTGTCTAAAAAAGAACATATCAGACAAGTTATTGTGCACTTTTGCTATAATTTCCTGTTGATGTATGAACACTTATAATATGTTGTGACAAATAAGAGCTGTAGATTTTACAAAATTGCAAAATCTTTCTAATTTTTTTCTTTTCTAAAAATATAAATATTTAATTAAACCGTCACTCTAACAGTTGGGCTGAAAAGTTCGTATCGTTTAATAGAAAAACGCATTTTTTTTTTCAAAATTCGGTTTTGTTATTCAACATAGTCTCCATCAGAGGCGATACAGCGATTATAGCGATCTTCCAACTTATCGATACCATTTTTGTAGTATGATTTGTCCTTTGCTTCGAAATAGGCTTCAGTTTCAGCGATCACCTCTTCATTGCTTTAAATTTGTTACTAGCGAGCATTCTCTTGAGATCTGAGAACAAGAAAAAGTCACTGGGGGCTAAATCTGGAGAATACGGTGGATGAGGAAGCAATTCGAAGCCCAATTCGTTCAATTCAAGCATCGTATTTATTGACTTGTGACACGTTGCGTCTTGTCGTGCGTGTTGTCTTGATGAAACAGAACTTTTTTCTTCTTCAAATGAGGTCGTTTTTTTTGCAATTTCATCCGTCAAACGCTCCAATAACGCAATGTAATAGTCACTGTTGATGGTTTTTCCCTTCTCAAGGTAATCGATGAAAATTATACCATGCGTATACAAAAAAACAGAGGCCATAACCTTCCCAGCCGATTGTTGAGTCTTTCCACGCTTTGGAGTCGGTTCATCGCGTGCAGTCCACTCAGCTGACTGTCGATTGGACTCCGGAGTGTGGTGATGGAGCCATGTTTCATCCATTGTTATGTATCGACAAAAAAAATCGGTTCTATTTCGATGTAACAGCTCCAAACACTGCTCAGAATCATCAATTCATTGTTGCTTTTGATCGATTGTGAGTTCACGCGGCACACATTTTGCACAGAGCTTTCTCATATCCAAATATTCATGAATAATATGTCCAACACGTTCCTTTGATATCTTTAAGGTGTCAGCTATCTCCAACAACTTCACTTTACGATCATTCAAAATTATTTTGTGGATTTTTTTCACATTTTTATCGGTAACAGCCTCTTTTGGCGTCCACTGCGTTCATCGTCTTCGGTGCTCAAATACCAGTACGGAATTTTGCAAACCACTTACGAATTGTTGCTTCGCCTGGTGCAGAGTCTGGATAACACCATCAAGCCATTTTTTGGTATCGGCAGCACTTTTTTTCATTAAATCATTAAAACATTAAATCATTAAAAAGTAATGTTTCATCAACACACGAAATTCTTTATTTTTCAATTTTTTCTCCAACAACAAAACATGCGTCACTACTAGAGCAATATATCACAAACTAATAATCTGACAGCTGTTAAATTTTTACACGTATCTTTTCAAGGTTGGTACTAACTAAATATGGTATGAATTAAATTCTAGTGGCGCCATTTCTTAGAAACGATACAAACTTTTCAGCCCAACTGTCATATAATAATAAAAAAAATAGAGAAAAATTTAGCTTAATGTTATAATTATAATGGTACAATGGTGATGAAAATATCTTCTTATACTTGATCTAAAAATATCTTCTTATACTTGATCTTTTCTTTCTTCTCTTTCACTTTTTTTTTGGTTTCTTCTGTTTTTCCTTTTCTTATCATTTTCTTTTTTGTTTTTTATCTTTTCTTTTAGTTAAATTTAGGTGATTAAAAATTCGAATATTTTTTGTCTATTCTTTTTAAAGTTTGTATGACGTAAACTTTCTACTCCTTTTTATTTTTATTTTTTTTCGACGTTTTTTAAATTTATATGTACTTAATTATTATTATTTCTCTTTTCCTTAATTTTTATTTAGTTCTTTTTAAAATTTTTTACTTTGTTTACTGATTAGATTTTTTGTTTAGTTAATAAAATTTTTGTTTAAATTTCTTTTTCTTTTTTTTTTCCCTTTATCTTTATCTTTATCGTTAAAACCTCTGAAACACAAACCTTGACAAATAAGGCTGCTGCGCAAAGAAACAAGTTAAGCACGGTATTATTATGGACTTATGAGGCGAGCCCTTTACCACTACTAAAACGTAATAAACTTTTAATAAGTTTATTTATTTCTTAAATAAAATATCCTAGTATTAGTATAATGACCCTGTAAAAGTAAAAATATTCAAATTTTTATAAGAGCAAGGAATGTTATCTAATAGCAAACAAAAAATTGTTATAATTATAATTTTACTTTAAACTAATGTTGCCATGATAAATTAAACATGTTTACACATAATACCCAGCTAACACACATTGGGCCAACGTATGTAAAACTATCGCGAACGTCGGCTCTTTATTCCAATTCAAAACCAACGAAAAAGTTGATAGTTTTTACGATCTAAACCCAACGTTGATCCAATGTATATATTTCGACATTGATTCAATCTATATATATCAACGTTTTTCCAATGAATGTAAAAGTATCGCTTAAAGTTGATTGATTTTACGATCTAAATCTATTGTTGATCCAATGTATATATTTCGACGTTGATTCAATATATATAAGTCAACGTTTTTTCAAGGTATGTAAAAACATCGCCAAAAAATAATTGTTTTTACGATCAAAACCCAACAATGATCCTATCTCGATATTGATTCAATGTATATAAATCAACGTTTTGTTGATTTGCAATGTATGCAAAAGCATCGCATAAAGTTGATTGTTTTTACTATCTGAACCCGACGTTGATCCAATATATATATTTCGACGTTGATTAAATGTATATAAATCAACGTTGATCCTATGTATGTAAATACATCGCAAAAAGTTGATTGACTTTAAGAACTAAACTCAACGTTGATTCAATATATGCGACCAAATTTTGCTATTGCGAAATTATATAACTTAAATAAATTCTTCCGTGTTTATTAAAATATCAAACAACAATTAACACAAACATGATTTTTGTTCTTATGATCAAGCGTTTGTAATCTTAATTATATTTATATATACACAATGTTTAAGTTAGATGTATATGTTTACGTATATATGTATATGTGTGTATATATATATATATATATATATATATATATATATATATATATATATATATATATATATATATAAATATATATATATAAAGTAAATTTCAATTAATGAAAATTAACTAAATTAAAGCCATATAGACAAATTAAGTATAAAAAATGTAGTAGAACAGAACGTTACGATCTAACTAAAAAACAAAATCAATTTAATAAAGAAACATTTTTCACTTTGCACAATACAATTAATTCTTTTAATGAAAATATAAAAAAAATTAATACTATATTATCTTGAGAAGCTAAAGTTAACTAGTATTTTTGTAGTTGGTTAATCTATCCATTGTTAATTGGTGATGTAGATGTATCATTATCCATTGCTAATTGTACCATTATTCATTGATGATGTAGATGTACCATTATGATGATGTAAATGTACCATTTTTCATTGTTAATTGATGATGTAGATGTAGTTAAATTTTTTATGTAAATAAAACTTTTAAAATATTTTGTTTCGTTTTAATGTAATGCATAAATAAATTCATTTCCAGTTAATACATGTGGTGTTATATTTCCTTTTTTTTACTCGATTAATTTCTAATGATTATTAGATGACGTGTTTGTTTAATAAAAGTCATACAATTATAAACTATTAAAAATTGTTATGTTTATATAGTTTGTAAATAAATGTTTAAATAAAATTATCTTTTATTTTACGAAGTTATAAAGCATTTTTTTAAAACCGCAATACATAATGCGTTGGACTTGTGAACGAAAGTCAATGCAAATAGTTAACATGTAAACTTAAGTTATGATGTTATATTAATTTTACAGATTTTTTTTTTACTTGAAAATTTGATTGCGATAATATCTCCTTAATTTTGGTTTATAGCATTTATATGCGATTTTGTAAAGTTTAATAAATCTTTGGTTTATTAAACAGTTTTGAAAGATGATAAAGCATACCAAAGTGGGTGCAATACTTCTTGTGGTTTAAAATCATTTCGCTCACAATTTTTTTTAATTTTCTATAACACATAGTAAAATATTTTATAAGGCCTATGGATACTAAATACATAGCATATTTAAAAATATTGCATGCTATTACAAACGAACGGGAAAAAAAATTTTTAAAAGTTTTTAAGATTTCAAAAAATATGAAATCACCGTTTAAAATTTTTTGTGCATATGTAAGAGTAGATATACTTACGTTAATAATGTGCTCAAGTTATAAATTAGTTAAGTCTGTGCGTTTGATGTATAGTATAACAAGAGGCAAGTTTCAATTTTATTAAAAAAATATTTTACATGCAAAATTTAATATTTTTCAGAATTAACGAGGCAAGATTCCTAAAGAGCTGCGGACGAGGGTTTAACCCTGACACTTTCTAACCTTGTTGGTTCATTGTTGGTGTTTCTGATAAAGACGTTATTAACAAATGGTTGTAAAATGTGATACTTGTACCAAGAGAGGAGAAAACAAGTTGAAAAAAAAACTGTAAATAAATTAAGCAAAAAAACAACTAAATAACAATTGGGGTAAATGATAGTGTGTAGTACTGCAATAATGGTTTGTAATTGTCATTATTTTAATAAAATAATTTTTAGCAAACAAAAACTTTTTTTCCAGGCTATTTTCAATTTAATATATATAACAAAGGTTGCAAAGTGTAGTGTCCCAGTATTTTGACTTTTGTTACAAATGACTGAACTTACGTATAAAATGCATTTTTGAGAACTAAAATAATTATATTTTTATATCATTTATGTTATTTAATTAATTTATCATACTTTATGTTTTCAGAATAACTCCATGCTACAAAATCTTATTAAAATATTTAAAAAAATAGTAAAATAAAGTCTAATTTATTAGGTAAAATAATATTATTGGCTTAAAAGTATACTTAATTTAACGCTGTTGATGCTGCCGCTGTTCGTGCCGCCTTTGGCACGGAGTTTTTACCGTACTTGGTTGAGTTTTTACCGTACTTGGCCTTTTTATATTTCTGTATATGTTTTTGTTCACGCGATGAGTTATTTTTAAATTTTTTTAAAAATTTAAAAATAACTCATCGCGTGAGTTATTTTTTATATATATATATATAAATTTTATATTTATTATATAAAATTTATATATATATATATATATATATAAATTTTATATAATTACATAAAAATAATTATTATATCTATTATGTTAAGTTATGTTTTTTTTTTACTTTTTGTTAAAATATACAAGTTAAAAACAAAAAACAATTATTGAATTTATATAATATATTGTTTGTTAATAATTTACAAGTTAATAAATTTGCATTAAAAATATATTAAAATATAAATGCATTAAATTTTTCATTAATAATATAAATGCTTATAATAATGTCAAATATACAATTAATATAAAACATAACATATAAAACAGATCATGCAAGACTTTGAAGACATTATACTTTTTCAGATTCATCAAAAGTAAAGCGTTCAAATCGTGGTAATGATAATCCAGATATAGGTTTCAATGTCAATGATTGGGCAGTATAGCCACGATTTTTTGTTGAACTGGTTTTTTGAATGGACTTTTTTTCTGATCTTTCTTTTCTGCCTCCATTTCTGTCTAGAGCTTCAGAAAAAAAAGCCACGACTGCCTTTTAAATTTGTATGTGGCATCTTTTGTCAGCTGTATGTGGTATCTTTTGTCAGCAAATTTCTTCGTATTGCTTCTATAAACATAAACGCAGTCATATATCGAGTGTTTTTATGAACAAAATTATAAGAGTATATAGCTGTTGTATATATCTGCATAT